TCATGACCTGAGCCGAAGGCAGTCGCTTAACCAACTGAGCCACCCAGGTGCCCTCTCTTTACCTTTTGCATATCTATTATAGGCTTTTGCTTTTTAGTTACCATGAGGTTTATGTAAAACATCTTCTATTTATAACAGCATTTTAAGCTGATAATAATTTAACTTCAAATGCATAGTATCACTTATATGTGGCATCTAGAAAAATTGAACCCATAGAAACAGAGAAGAAAACAGGTTGTCAGGAGACAGGAGAGAGAAATAGGGAGAGCTTGATAAAAATGTACAAATTTTAAGTCTTAAGATGAGTAAGTTCTGAGGATGTAATGTATAGCATGGTGACTATATTCTATAACACTATAGTGTATAATTAAATTTACTAAGGAGTAAAACTTAAATGTTCTCTCACACACACAAAAGTAAATATGTGAAGTGATGGATGTGATAATTCAATGAGGGGAATCCCTTTCATAATGTATACATATTTCAAAGCATCACATTGTACACTTTAAATATCTTACAATTTTATTTGTCAATTATATTTGTCAATAAAGCTGAAAAAGTCACCCTACTATTCTATGTGTTCTTGATAGAATATATTAGTTTGCAGCAAGCTATTCTATCATAATTCTAAATAGAAATCAATACAATTTAATCAAGCAGAATAAATCATTTACTTAATGGGAAAGTTAGTGGCTTTTCTTTTTTTAAAGGAGACTTAGTTTTGAATATATTAGTATTCAAAATGATAAATATTAAAACAAAAATCTGAATTATAATTACTTTTTAAAATTTAAAATGTAATGGGTATATCAACTCCTTTTCAGATATATTTTGTTTATCACAGACACAATGTGATCTTGGAAAAATTATTTAATTTATTTTGTATTCAAGTTCCCCATCTGTAAAATTGGAATAATACTTACCTCACAAGCTATTGTGCACTCTAAAAATGCTGAATCTGAATTAAAAATCAACATAGATATACATTAATTATGATATCTTATTTAAGAAATCTTTGAAAACATGTTTTTTAAATAATAGATTTATTAATGTTGATCTCCTTCAGGAAGAGCTAGAGGGGAAAAGGAGAAACAGGAAAATGAGGAAATGGTCACTTCAAGTTGAGAATTTTATTTTTGTACAATTTATCGTATATAGAAACTTTCATTTTTAAAATTTAGTTAAATATTTAATTCTTATGGTTGTGAATTTAATTTAAAAATCTTAAAGATCACAAAATATGTTACACATCACATGCACTTATATTCTCAATATTATGTCATTTTATACATTACCAG